TTATTAATTTAATTACAAGTGATTGTGCAGTAAATATCACAAACAATTTAAAATGCACCAAATTAAATAATTTCGGAAAAGTTGTTTGTGAATCATGCAACAACTAAAGTTAAGCTCCTGCTCTATTACTTTGCATTTAATTTGTTTCATGTTCTGATTCAAAATTGTTGACTCATTTCAGTTTTGTTTAAGGATGCTGTATACATTTTTGGTATTGATTTTCTAAACTGATATTTTCATATAAAATATTTACTGAACCACATAAAGCTATATATTGATGGAAAGCTTATTTCACACTGGATATGAAATCAACAAGATAGTGTGTGTATGGACGTGTATAATCATGTGATCTCTGTGTAAACACAGAAGGCCATTTTCGGTAAAAAAATAATTGAACCAATGAATAAACAAATTTTTTGGAACATTGGCAACAAAACAGTTTTTTAGACGACGCTCACCACCATTCAGTGTTGATTGAGATATATATCTACATGACAGTGGGGGAATAAATAATAATTTAACTATCTTGAAAAAACAATGCGATCTGGTTCTTTCCGGTATTCTGAAATTAGAACGTAATTTTGAAACAAATAGGGAAATATAAAAATCCCAGCGCCGCTTGAGAGGGAACATATCGACGAGTGTCTGTGCAAAAATTTAGTATAATGCGTCCACTCGAACTTGAGATCAAAGACCTGCAGTTGCCGTAAATCGCTGTTTTGTTTAAACCGAGAAAACGGCAAAAACAACTTAGCAGCAATGTATCGTCGGCTAACTCAAAATCTGTGTGTCCCTTGGATCAAAACAAATTTCTAACGACTAGTTATGGTATCTGTCTGTCATAATCATGCAGATGTGTGAATATACCTGGTCACAATTGGTTACAAAGTACGAAATTATGCTCCTGAATCCAATAGGAAACACTGTTTCACTGCGAGACAAAGCCACGTCAAAATGACGTCATGATTTACATATTCATTATTAAATTGTGGGAGGAAACGCTCCTTTTCTGGAGGACTCATTATCATACATTACCCTCCATGAAAGATCATTCTCTTGCTCTGCTGCTGAATCAGTAACCGTGGCTGAACGCACCACCAATGTCAACTACACGTAGTTTTCTTTCCAAGATTTATTTTTACTATGCGAGATGTCTTGACGAAGATCTGTATTATCAGATTTGAATGGCAATGAAGAGGGAGAAGTCACAGTGAGAGCTGAACTGAATCAGGAGATGCAATCGCTTGGGTTTAAAATTGTCTATCGATCGGGCGATGAATTTTCAGTTTGTTTGCTTCGTTATTATTTATTATGTAGATTTGTAAAATAACCTGTTCACCATAAATCGTGTTCTCCGTTTTTTAGTTCCCAAAACTGTTGTGACAAAATTACTAGTAGTGTGATAATTCTTTTTCCATCTTCAACGCGTAATACATAGTACCGGGACAACTGCTGGCGGGGACTACTGCCAGTATCTTATTATCAGTTCACTTTCTATATCAGGTATAACAAATCTACTAGTAACTTCATTGAGTGTCAAGTTATTTATTGAGAATGTGAACATTAAGAAAAATAAAGCACAAGGTTGTTCACACACAGACGCGTACGTTTTCTTTTACAGCTGCTTGGTAAGGCTTTACGTGTGGCCAAGTGTTTCACTTCCGACTCATTGTGGTCGGGGTGTCAACGAGTCCATGACACGTAATTTGGTCATGAAAACTTAGTCTGCCATGTGCTGAAATTTTCTACCTCCATGGTATGATCAATTAAATCGTGGAAGGTACTAACGTTAATGATTAAATTTTCATAATAATCGCTTTACATACTGTCGACGTTCTTTTCCAAATTGACTTGGATTCGTTTTGTTTCGTCCCTGTCATAGTCAATGCCAAGACGGTTTCATAGTGGACTGCTTGGAGAGCAAGAAATTCAACAAAATTAAATTTGTGAACGATCGTAAATGGAATGCGTGTAACTGGTACCTCAGACTAATACTTGTATTACTAGTCTGAGCTTGTACAGAATGCAAGAGACTGTTTATATTTGCTATGGGTGGTGACTATTATGCAAATTATCTGTCTATTATGTCTTTGGCTGATTAATTAAAACATTGCTTTCAAAACAATGACATGTGCTTTTGTTTTTAATTAACAAAAATTTACTTTTACACCCTATAAAAACATCCAATTCACTTTTTTCCTACCGAGTGTTTGCTCCTTGTAGTCCAGCATTGAAAAATACAAAAAAGTAGAATTTTATGTTTCAAAGCAAAACAACTACAGGGATTTTACTGCTTGTACAGCATTATTACCGTACTTCTCCGAGTATAAGCCCACCCCTCTGTTTTTAGACATTTAACAAGTTGAGGGCATCCCCAAGTATAGGCCCAGGGTGTTTTTACCGGGCATCAACGACATGTATTAAAATATGCATGTAAAATGAAGATAATGATAAAGATCTTGCCTTCGACTGTTTTCCCACAGACCCTACCAATTCGGACGGAATGTACCGGCGCTGTGAATGAAAAATGTAATTTGGTTAATTTTTCGAGGTTGGAAAGATGGTTACAATTTTAAACCCCCAAAA